ATGTACAAAGGCAGGAGGGTCTGCACCTGCTTTCCTCACTATCTAGAAACAGAATTTAGGAGATTTCAAACCTCTTCCATCTTGTTATACCAGGTGAAACTCACGTATATGCTATGCCTCATACCACATTCCATACATTTGAAACAACACTTTATGACAAGAGTACCAGCAGATGCAGAACACACCATTTAAGCTCTCTACTGTGAAGTAATACTTCTTTAACACACCATGAACTATCCTAAAGGACTTTCACTAAGGTCTACATTAGTCATCGTCAGAATAGGCGACCTTTTTTTTTTCTTGGATATGTAAGAAAATGCCTCACGAAGCATGTGACTGATGGTACTGTAGACAGAACAGGAGAGGATAAGGTGACAAAGTTTTTCCTGTAACATCTTATTTCTGTATTTTTATCTCTATGAGTGCCCTGTGTGTGCTTCTCCTGCCTCTCCATAAACCTTCTGCCTGCTAATTTCCCAGGTCTTTGACATTGTAGGTGTCCTCTGCTGAACATGTCTCTTGTGTACCTGCCTAAGGAACTGCCACTGAAGTTGCTCTGGTGCTGGCGTTCCCAAAGAGATGACATGTCCTCAGAATACTTTGGTTGGAGGGAACTCTCTGGGGAGGAGACAGGGGAACACACCCCATTCTTAACACTTACAGTGATTTCTCAGTGCTTGGATGTTTCCAGGCCAGCAGGGACAGCTGCACGGGAAATCTGTGTGAGTCTATGCTAAAGTCAGGGTTGTGCAGAGAAATGTGGTAATGTAGTAGGAAAAAATATGCCTGGTCATATTTGACACACAATTCCTATACTGCACTGACTTTCCATAATTTATTTATCTTATCATTTAATCTATAAAGGTTTTAAATGAAGGCCATGCTTAAACAAATCTCAGTTTTCTACGCTGAGGTTCTTAATCAACTGCTTTTAACCCTCAGAACCTTTCCTTCATGTATAAATCATCTTGGAAAGAAAAGATATTTTAGCTGACACCATTTCTCTCTTCTTTGTTGTCCCAGAACAAACCCTATGTGCCTATTTAAAGAGTGGATCCTCTGATCTGCAGCTCACTATCAAGTGAGGCATGCTAGTTCCAACACACAATCCCAGTGCTTCTTCCATATTACCCAATATGTGAGCAACACCTTCTACCAGTGTTTAAGAGACTGTAGACACAGCATGTGGTGGGCAATCACCTAGTCCACTGCAGCACCAAAATTTTTTCAGACTCAGAATTTAAGAGAAGAGTATGAGAAACACTGAGCATCTCACAAAAGAAGTAATTTTAATGCATTCCCTTTGTGGCTGCTTACTTCCCACTCAATTGCCATGAATTATTCCAGTATCACGCAAAGCATGCATTCTTGTTCTGCCATTTCAGTGAGATTTTTTGCAAGATAAAGACCTAAAGCTCCTGCCAAACTGACTTCTGAGCAACTGCCACGGCCTCACTATATATCATCAAGCCTTCTCTTCCAATACAACAGAAAGCAAGAACAGATCAGTGGGCAGCACTTCCCCACCAGCCCTTAGGTATCAAATCTTGGCCACATCACACGAAAGGTATATTTTAGTATACTCTTCCTCCCAAAATTTGATTCAGTTATGCAAAAGACTAGAAAATGCAGTTCATAGAATGATTTGCTGTCAAAATAGCATGAGTAAAATCTAGACCAGATGTAAACATTTATACTAAGACCAAGAAAAACAAATGACAATTCTCAAAATTTGTTTTATTTCCTTAACAGAAGTGAAAAAGAGTGGATCAAATCCTTACCTTGTGTTGGGCTTCAGGTTCTCAATTGGCAAATGAGTAGACCCTGCTGTCCTGGTTGACCACTTATTCTTTAAAAAGTCATCATAGGATGCACTGTAAACCAGGTAGCCTGTAAACAGGAAAGGCAAACAGTTGTAAGGTTTCCAAATAAATTTCAAAATAAATTATATCCCTAGGTGTCATGATAAATTTTATGAGTTAAAAGTACCTTTCAATATGAAAGTGATTCAATGCCTAATTCTCTTGGAAAATCCCAGGCTATAAGAATTTCCTGTCATTAGGTAATACTGATGGAGTATTACGTCAGAGGATGGCACTCAGGTATGAATTCTTATTTAAAACACAGTGAAGGCAAAAAGATGACACAGGCAACTCATTCATGGTTTCAAGTGATGCACTGACTGTGCAGAGACTAATATAGTTAGAAATACCAGAGGATTTTTTGGGAAAAAAATAAAGTTATACAAACTGTTCTCCTTAAGGTACTGTCTCGACAGCCTTGAAGATTGAAATGCTGTGGGAAAGACACCACACAGCCTATTCAAGTGCCATCTTCTCCCTTCCCAACCATTACCTCTGCTTCAGTTCCACCAGCTCCCACCCCTCTGCCATGGTATCAGCCACAGAGCTGGACAAGGTTCCTCAAAAACTTGACATTAGCACCAAAGCAGTGGCCTTTTGCAATGCTTACTTCAGATCTTTTGGGTCCACTGACAAACAGGAGTAATTTTTAAAATATTCTGGTTATTTACTCTAGTGTTTTTCTAGCAACTTAAAAGATTCATTCTTGAAGTTGGTTGGGCTTCTTTCTGGTTCTCAAAAGGTCTAAACACATTAAAGGAGATTTAATTTAATATATTTATTTAACATATTCCTCCTCTTCGAATCTTGCTTGTCAGACTAATATTTGAGTAAAGTTTCAGTAAAACAAGCTAAGCATAGCCTGGGCTGCAGATTCCTATATAATTGACTTTGATACATTCTTTTCCTACAGAAAGAAAAAGCAGACTAGAAGACCACCAAGCCAGAAGCCTCTCTACAGGCAGGCCACTCCTGTACCCACACTCACAGCCAGGCAGGACCCAGACCAGTTCCAGCCATGCAGCCATCTCTGCTTGGAACAGACTGAAGCCGAGCGTGAAAGATGCTCCAGAGGCAGACTCTGGAGGTGTCCGTGGTGGAGCTGAGGGTGCTACCTGGGGGCAGAAATGCTCAGTTGAGCACAGCACTATCACAGCTACCATGCAGGCAGGATGTGATGCCTTTGGAGCCACTGCCACAAAAACAGTGCCAAAATCTTGAGGTACCTGGAACAACATGGGCTGGTCAGTCTGGCACTGAGGGATGACAGAGGGGCCTTTCTTCACTCCTTGGAAAGTAGCTCACTTCCCTCAGAAAACTGGGGAGGAGTGAGAACTTCATGAGCCATCAGCTCAGTTGAAAGTAAAAATGGTCATTTAAGAAAACCTTCCCTTTATCCACTACCTCATCAGGAAAGCAACCCTCAGGAGAGTACCTGTTACCATGTCTCCTTGAGCAGGTTTGGCCCAGTCCACAATGACAAAGGAGTGACAGCCTTCAACTGCCACAACAGTGATGTTGTGAGGGGCTCTCAGGGGACGCTGATCTTTCTGTCTGAAGTCATTAGGGATGATTTCATCAAGGCTCTCCACTTGGAAGTGCTCCAGGGCCTCTGTCAAGGAGCAGGGAGCTGCTGGATCTTTATTGAGATAGGTCACATAAGGAGCTGGAAAAAATGGGAAAGGTAGCATTTAATTAGCAGTTTGTAGGTACCACAGGCTGGTGATTTCCTGAAGAGAAGAGAATCAAGTTTTGTGATGCATTTTAAAATTCCTCACCTTCCAGCCCAGAGGCTGCTGCCAACAAAGCATGTCTCATAGTCAATTTGACGGATGAGTAGGGAGAATGGGATACCAGTATTCAGGTCTACCTCACACTCTCACAACTGTACCCAATTGTGCAAAGACTGAAGGATTATCTTCGCTACGAGAGGCAGAAGAGAGCAGTCTGACTGCAGGATCCTCTGCACACTACCTCCAGCTGCTCCGGAAGTCAGGATGAAAGTGTGACCCAAACTCTCAGCCTTTCCCCTGCCAGGGCCTTTGATCATCTAAGACTTTACAGGTCTAAGTGGTTGGTTCTTACACAAATATCCTGAGGCTGAAGTGAAACAACAAAGGGAACATGAGGAATAATTCCAAGGTGAAGTGTGACCAGTTTAAAAGGATTGTTCTTGTGGTCCCCTGGGTACTAAGGGACAAGGAGTCACGAGTCCCTACCTCCCAGGCATGTGCTCCCAACCTGTAACATCTAATTTTGAAAGTTTTATACTGACTGGCATTGCACTTCAGTTCAGAAAAAGATTAAACCATCTTTTTATTGCCTTAAAAGTCACCGTAACATTCAAAGTATGGACTATAAAACTTGCTTTGGAAATGTTTATTCAGTTGCAGTAATACAATTCATTGAAATGGTAATGTTATTTCCCTAGTGCCTTGAAATGTTCATAAACCAACATTTCTTGGTTTATCTTATTGGATTTCATGCCCTAAAGGAATTTTTTCCAGATCTTGCAATGAAGTTAATTTTAGCCTCTCCAGCTAAATGAATCAAGAAGCACTGTCAGTGAGAGAGCCGAATAGAAACATCATGAAATTGTTTGGACAGGGAAACTGAAGATGCACTGGAAAAAGTCTTGGCATATATAAAATCTTTTACTCCAGCAGCAGAGTTCCACTCTAAGCCACGTGAAGCTTGTGGATATTGGAAGAGAAGGCAAGACATGATTCTCCATTCCCTGAACTCCCATCTGAAATGCCAAGTAATTCAGCAGCTGACCTGACCTCAATTCAAATGCCAGAGGTATGTAAAGAGCTGCAGGGGGTGTCACCAGTCTGGGGTGGGCTGGAATGCAGTGCCCTACAATCTCCAAACCCCTCTATTCTGGTCCCCAGCTGCTTCTCTGACAAAGAAGCAGAGCAGCTCTGAAGTCAGATCCTTGACTTTGAATCAAACCTTTGACATACATGCTTGTGCAAGGTGAATAAAATCACTGGGGTTGCATGTGTCAGTGAGAAAGAATTAGGTCCCTTACACCTACATGGCGACTTGCACTGCATGAACCACTGCTGTGAAGTTAGATGCAGGTAAGCTGAACTGAGCACTGGAGTAGAGACTCTTGCGCTCTTACTGACCAGCTAAACCAAACACAGTGCAGAACACAAAGCAGAGTATTTACGCTGAAAAAGTACAAAGAGGTTTGAACTGCTTCAACAAAATCAGTGTGGACCCACACATAGACATGCAAACATCGAAGCAAGGAACAAAGTACTGTTGTTTGGGTTTTCAAGGTGGTGATCCTTAGAAGGACCACACACAAGTCTGTTGGATGCGTTTGGCAATGGTCTCAGCTTAGGGGCTGACCTTGCTAGAACAAGAATTCTTTGCAGCACAAGTAGTAAGCCAAAGGACATCCTTACCAGTGAACCGTTTCTTCCCAGCGATATCATATTCTGACATAGGGCCGGTGCCAACAACACTAGTCTCTGGATAGACAACCTCCAATTCTGCGGTCGTAGTAGTGGTGGTGGTGGTGACAGTGGTGGTGGTGGTGGGTGGCAAAGTGCTCTCAAAAAACTCATAGTCTTCAGAGGAAACATAAGATGAAAATGTTAGCATGCTTCATCTCATTTGGACTTAACTGTGAGAAGGGAAACATTACTGCCACCAGCCACAGTTCCAAAGGAGGGCCACACACTCTGCCCTAGCTGCCACACACTCTTTATAGGCCTCTAAGGGTTGGTCACACCTCAGTCTTGCAATGGTTTCTACCAAACTGATGGGCATTGCGCACAGAGTCTTTGCCTTAGAGTACTAGTGTCATTGCTGATTTAGACCTCAGACACACAATCAAACAGGATGACAATAAACAAGTGTATTCATACAGCAATATCCTGAATGTGCATCTGCCGCCTCCCCTCACAACCCTTAAGAGAAGATGGCACAGTAATTGAATCCCTGGCCAAAGCCCTCAAATGCCAAAGGAAGGAGATAAGGCAGTAGAAAAAATGGGTTTTTTTAAGAAAACTCTGTGTTTTTATTCTAAAGTGCTAGAGCTGGTTCCTACTGCTCTTAAATCTTCCTGCAGTTTAAGAGATGTGGTCTGGTACTTGCCGTTCATGGCCCCACTAGGGCCATGAAGGAAGGCAAACTGGCTCACAGGAATCTCCCAGTATTCAGTCCTATTAAATTCCAGGTTCTTTGAAAAGCTACTGTGCTACCAGATTGGCACATAAAACAAAGGGAAAGAAGCATTTCGCTTCATGCAGACTGGGGGACTTGGCTCATGGCTTTGAACGTTTTGTGCTTAAACTGCTGAAGCATATGTTTTCTGCAGATGACCTGTACCTAAGGGGAGACCTGGCAAAAAACCTGTGCACTGAGGATGTTCTCTGTTCATGGGGATGTAAAGAAACATAGGATGTAGGTATTGTGCAGTTTTTAGTTCATCCTCTCCTCCGTACTTCTAAATGTCGGTCTCAGTATGAAGAGATCAAACAAAAAGCACAAATGTCTATGATACCTTCCACTCAGCTGCTGCACTCTCTTTTTAAATACTTTTCTGTTGTTGGTTTGACTTAAGATCCCAGAGCTACAACCACAAAGAAAGAAATTTTCATTATTCTAGAGCCATAAATTCTACTAAAAAGAGCTTTTTGTTTAACTGAGGTCTGTACTTATCCACTTTAATATGGGGGGGTAGGAGGAGGAATTTGAGGATTAAAAGGGGTAGAACATCAGATGTCACTTCAGAAAGTGAATGCTAGTTCAAGCAATTGAGAATTTATATTCCCTATGCAAATTTACAATTAAATGCTGGGACTTGAGGCTTCCTCTTCATCTAAGTTTTGTGAATCCTGGATTATAATGTCAAGATGGCATGAATACAATTGCAAAAATATTTCCCTCTTCTCCTTTTATCCTATTTCAAATCTCTTTGATTTAAATTCCACATGAATTCAGCAGATTAATTATTTTATATGTAGATGATCTCACTTGGTATAAGCATGTTTAAATGAAGACTAAATGAAGTCTACATGAAGACTACATATTTTTTTAAAAAAGACACAAAAATATTCAGTTCTGTAGAGTGCTAAAAACACACTAAGGTATCTCCAGTTTCCAGGGCTGAAATGCTATGTGGATTTTCTATTTTAGAAGAGTTCATTGACTTTGACTTGGCTGGAGGTAAAAGCTGTACCAGAGAAAATGAATCCAGGATTGAACCAGTGTCTGTATGACCTAGCTCTGAATGTAATATATTTCCTCAATAGGTTCCTGTAGATTGTGGGACTGATAGAAAGGGACTGTCACGTCAATAAACAGATGTCTTTGCACCTTTGCTCTTCACATGTGATGCAGAACTCTTTTCCAACTCACCAGCACTTGCTTAAGCTCCCATTCACCAACCATCCCCCTTGAACCCAATTCCAAAGAAAGAAAATAGAGAAAAAAACACCCCCAAACATGCCAGTTGCAATAGACATTTACAGCAAAACAATACCATCATCATATATCACATATGCCTCTGGAGTTGGTGTCACATCTGAATCCAGTCCTGAGAACGTATCTATTGAAGGAGATATTAAAAATACTGTAAGAATTCAATAAAGTATTTCTGGAATAAAGTTTAAAATAAAAATATTTGGCCAGTTGAGTTGTAAAGAAATAAGATAACTGCCTAGTTTCCAAATAACACAGTGACAGCCCACTCTGCATATTTAGAATAACAGAAAGTAGCCAGTAACCAGGAGTTTTGCTGGGGGAAAGTGCTTCAGGGCTGCTACTCAAAATCGAGAGTAATGCACCTTCCAGGAGCTCTGCTGCATGCCCCAGCAGCTCTGGAGCAAAGGCCAGCAACTGCCTAACACTCATGTCAGGATTTGACAATATTTTACAGTCTCAGGAGCAGCAAATGTGAAAAAAGTATATGCCAAAATAGCAACCAAGCAATTAAATTACTTCTATCCAAATATTTTTGTGGAGGTATGAAAAATAAACAATCCAGAGCCATGACATTTACAGACTGTGTCTATGCTAGCAAGTAATGCAGGTCCAAAGGAGAGGATTTGTAGAATGAAGCAATTGGTGCTGGATTTTCTGCAGTTTTACTTTGCACTACTTTTAGTCTGGTCCTGTGGACTCAATAACCACTACAGGTTGAGGCACACAGGTGTAATACTGAAGCACTGCTTCTGTTTTAGCTTCGTCCAACAGGAATTCAGTCTGTGCACACCGAGATGCTCCATGATGCAAATGAAAGCATGGCAAGAACAGAGGATTATGAGATGGACATCAAAACCACTCTCCTGATCCACCCCAAAAAACAATGCAAATGCACCAGTAGAATTCCCAGATGCCTGTCCCTACATATTATCTCGGTATCTCTGCAGGTCATGAATCCAGCACCAGAATCCAACAACCATCAAGTACCTCATTTGTTGAATCCTAGAGGCTTTCCTGCACGCTCTGAGAAAAACATTTCTTCATATGTAATTCAGGGAAGCCAAAGAGTACACAAAGCTCAGAATAGTCATAAAAAGCCATGCAAACAAAGCAAAAGCATTGTGCTGAAACCCACTACAGGTACTATGAGAAGTCTCCATGAAATGTTTGGGCTGGAGAGAGGCCACTGTGTGAACAAAGACAAGAGAAAGACAGCTTTGACATCAGGACAGTTCACATAAATTGGTAATGTTCCTGTAACACTCAGTATGAAAGCAATAGCATTCTTTTCACTAAGCCAGTAATCAAACAATGCAAAATTTCAACTGCCAATGTTAAATAGCTCACAAATATAATCTGAATGATACACTTTGATTTTGAAGATCTTTTTTTGTTTAGAATCAAAAATTACTGCATAAGACTACTCTTTTTTCCCATAACAACTTTCTTTTAAAGACACCATTTGATTTTAAATCCAAAATAAGCTTTGAAAACATAGGAAATGGGTTAATTCTTGTCAGACTTTCATATATCAGAATGTGACTTTTTCTCATGGTAGAATTCTGTAGCCCCTCTTCAGGAGATGATCCCCTTGGAAGTCATTTGACTTCTCTAAGAGTCATCAGTCACAAAGCAGAATCTTTGCTGAATTCTGCAGATCTCACCATAGTTGGCCAACATCAACCAATGGCTATAATGTATGCACCTTTGACTGACTACATCCAAGTAAACAAGAAATCTGAAGTCCTTCATGGGCAGATTTAAACTCACTCACGCCTTTTAGCTAGTCAGTCTTTGGCCTACCTAAAATCCAGCAAAACCAAATCGGATTTTATATTTTTGTACTCAACTTTAATGTCTGTGCCTGGTTAGCATTAGCTGTGGCATGGTGAAAATAATGATACTTCTCAAAAGATCTCTCATTTTATCACTTTCTGTACATACACAAGCTGCAGTTCTACTGCTTGCTCCATCACCCTTCACTGAAGCTCCTGAGTGAACCCTGCCTGCAACAAATGATGCAAAGTCTTCCTATGACCACTTGCCACAGACTTTTGGCATCTGTAAAGACAGTGGACTGTGCATCCATCACTTGATTTTATCATGTGCAGTGCGAAGTTAAGTATCCACCTGTTTTTCCTTTGTGAGTTCATCAAAAAAGTTTAGCTGATTTCACTGACAAATCACACTTGTGTGGCCAAACTCCTCCTTGAAAGTTAAAGACTGCTGAATCTAGTGAAATGTTTACAATAAATTCTGCTGGGTTGAGCAAAAATCCTGCCAGAGAGTAAGAGAATTTGCCAAAGCTTAAGTAGAACATTTGGCGGTGGGTTTTGGCACTTGCAGCCCCCGGCTGTTTGTAAGTAAGCACTTAGCAACAAATATCAAGCTTTGGCAGAAAAAGTATTTCACTAAATGACCAGAAGTAATTACTCCAGACTCAGATTAAGGGGAAATACATGATAAAAATATGATTTGGAGATGGTCAAGTGAAAGCTGCAGTAATTGTTTTGATAATTCAAGTAGTAGTTGTTTATCCCTCTTGAAATATACACTTCACTTGTTAAACAAAAACAGCTATCATTAAATAAATACCACAAACATGCTTTGCTTTCAAGCAAGTTCCCCTGTATAACAGGCAAGTTGTTTCGCTGTGTTTACCAAATGTTGAGGCAGGTCACGAGGATTTTTTAAAAAAATTAAAAATAAGACTCTTCAGAGAAGATTTCAAAAATTACCAGGTAGGGACTAATATTACTCAAACTATATGCCAGGAAAGAAGTAGAAATCCACCACCATCTTGTCCTTTCAGTCTTCCACTGTGAGGCATTTGCAGGCATGTTGTTAAAATGCCAAGCAGTTTATGATGAACTTAAGGGCCATTCTCATTGAACACACAGCCTGAGTAAAAACTTGGGTTTCATTAATGACTCTACAAAATTCAAGGATTCAGCAAGCCCATCTGGTAGAGGGCAAAAAACCCAAGCACAATGTTTTTAAATGTTGATAAAATCACATGAAAACTCCCCAGCCCATAACTCTGCTA